CTCAATGAGAGATTTCAGTGTTACTTCATTGGATCGTACACCTTACTCAGTAAAATCAATGTTTTCTACTTACCTTCCTTTGGAAGAGAAATCTTCTCCTTCCAATTGTCGCTGGTGGATAAATTATGACCTGTGGGATCAGGCACTCTGAAACTGCCTTGTGGTGAACAACGAAGTCGCTTCAAACTTGATTCTGAAAAAAACGATAAACAGAAACTACGATTGGGGTGAACGTTAATGGTAAGTACGATTAAAAGGATACTTATCACACTCGGCAGCTCTTCACGCTTCAAGAAGCAAAAGATCGTGGTGTAGAGTGGCATAAGTAGCAATTGCAAATAGTTTTTGGACCCATTGAATTAATAGTTTATTTGTGTAATTTAAAACAGTGGACCGGAATCGCGCAGTGGTGATAGCACTTGTCTCCCACCGCTGTGGCCTGGATTTGGCCCGGATTCTCGGAATCCCGGATCTGGCGTCATATCTTCGGGTTTAAATTTTTGTCGGTTGTCGTCCTGCTTCGAGGGTTTTTCTCTGGGTCCCTCCACAAAAACTAACATTCCAAATTACAATTCGACCACGAAATAGTCGATAGGAAGAGCCATCGAGTGGAATGTCAACTGCTTAATTACTATTATTATGATTATTATTATTAGTAAAACGAACCATTTTCAAAGTGATTACTTACCAACTGTGTCTGGAAATTGCATTGATATAATCTGAATAGCATCGTTACGCTGGATCCTGTCCAACGCATCTGTGACGTCACTTAATGTTTTCTCTGGTAAGTTAACGGTCACCCATTGAAAAACTTCCTTGGTGGGACTTTTCCGCTTTTTTTCTGTCGCACCCAATTCCTGACGCACATCATCGGGCACGTTCAGTTTGCTGGCGAGATGGATCCAATTTTTGACACCTGGTACTTCTTCGCGGTTAAGGTTTTCTGCCATTGTTTCTACCAGTTCCGGTTTTTGTGCCATTACGTCCTTCAGAAATACATCATCTACAAAGGAACAAATATCGGCAAATCGAAAACCTTACACTGTTATCTCAGTTATCTTTCAATTCATCGATTCGCAAATGCCAAGAACTTTTAAGATCTTGGCATTTAAGTTTCAAAATAAAATCTTGATTAAAATCAAGAGGCAAGTTGTGTCTGATAATGTTTCTAGTTGTTGATAGGAAAACTATGGAAATATTGCTTGATCTCTCATCGGAAAGACTGACATCTGCATTTATGTAGCAATTCATATTTCAGAGAGAAACCCAAAGAAAAGTCCATGTTTAAAGAGGGTTAAGCCTAGGCTACGCTAGACAGTCTTCACCGTTACCATGGTTTTGCTGATTTTTTCCTATAGCTCAAAAGATCATAACTTACTCTGTCTGGGGTAAATTAATGTTTACGGTAATTACCTCCTTGATTCTGTTCTTGTAGAATTTTTAGTACATCCTTCCTTTTCATGGAATCCAGGGCATCCTTCAGACTTTTTAGTTTAATTTCTGGACAAGTAGTAACTAAATACCGCAGCAGATTGTGGGTTGGATCGTCTGTTGAACGTCGTTCAAACTCCCAACAAGTTTTTCTTGGCACTCCCAGTTTTATTGCCAAGTTGGACCAGCTTGACAATACCAGAGAGGTGACGTCTAGGGCCAATGCAATTTCATCCAAAAGGCCAGCTGTCGGTGAAGGAGCTTGAATATTTCGTGACGTGATTATGTCTTTTACTTTTTCAGAGTCAATGCACCCGGCTAAGAGAGAGGAATATACGTCACATGTTTTGGCACTATTTCGTTTTTTAGCATTACGCCTATTTCACATTATTTGTCATCACTTTGATCGTGACGGCAGAACTGTAATGCCGGTGATCAAACCCGGTCCCATCCGAGGAAAATTCAAGAACCTTTTCAAACTAAATGGTTGAAACTTGGGAGAAAACCTCAATCTTACAGTTTAATAATCCCTCAAAGGGATGTTACTCGAATAAGTTACAGGCGTTTCGATAATTTTGGAAGCAACCAAGCTGCAAACTAGAAAATAAAATTTTGGAGATACTTTCGCGTGAGGGAGACAAAAGTATTATTTTCTTACCAACTGTTTTCAGAAGAGCTAGCGAGTCACTTAAAAGCTTTTGTGGCCATATAGTTTAGTGCTATCATCTGATAATGAAAGGAGTTTATTCAAATGCTGCAATTAGTGAATGTGATAAACAATTTTAAATCGGAATAGATCCTTCTACTCATGCACGCGTTGAAGATGCTCTATTTAACATACAGTCTACATACCTTTCGTGGAAAGCAAACTAAACAAGTCGTTCCTCCTGATTTCCAGTAGCGCGTCTTTTAGTTGTTTAATCGTTAACTCCGGTTGTGTGACCTCGAGGAATTCAAACAATCGGATGGTAGGACTGTAGTCAATGTACTGCCCAAGTCTTTCAATGACATTCATGTCGACATTAAGATCCGTTGCCAACTGTCTCCAGTTGGGTATAAATCTCATTTCTCTGTCCAAGCATAGGGCCAATTGCTCTATGAGCTTTGGTCTCTTTTCGAGGATGACAGATAATTTACACTCTATGCATGGAGAACAGAAAGATTATGAAATTTTTTAAATTACACTTTCTAACTATTAAACTAAGAGCTCGAGATTTTTATCGTGTGATGGTAGATGAGGGCGAATCTTGACTATCAACTTTTTAGTTTTAATCTGCTAGTCGTTCAAACCTTATCAATAAGACAAGCTCGTGCTTTTAGTTTGTTTACAAGCGCTTGCTTTTAGGCCTCTCACCCTATTAGCTACACGCAATGGGTAGAGTGACTAACGTAGCCAATTAGATTGCACCTCTGATAGAACACAAGCAGATTTATTCGAGGCAGTGTTCATACATATTTTGCAAAAAAGGCAAAGGCAGTGCCTCGGTTTTATAGGAGATAAGATATTTTCCATTCAAGTATCCTCTCTCCTTTGTTTACCTGAGGACTCACTCAGGCATTAACTGACGCAAGCTAAGTGACATGGCGCTGAGTCACCTCCTTAGGCCGGACGAACCCACTAAATACTATTTTTGATTGAGATACAAAAGCATCAATCTTTAAAAAACAAACCAAATATGCACGAGCAAGATTTTAAAACAATTGAAAAAGTAAATAAGCTTTCATGATGTTATAGGCTTAGCCCATTAAAACGGGAAACTTAATTTGCATACCGTATGTATACAGAATACGACAAGGTTAATTCACGATGTAAATCTCAACTTGGCGCTGACTTTGCACTTATCATCGCTGATTCAAACGTTACAATAACACCAATATTCAGTTAAAGATAGTGTGAAGTATTCCACATTTCGAGCTGGTTTTACGGTATCACTGAACTATCTTAGAAGATGATGCTTAGAAGAAGATTGTAATTGACTTTTCATCGGTTTGTTACGCCTCGCGATTCCTGCGCTGAAGCAATTTGATTTCGCAATTCCAGACTGTGTTTTTATTGTACCTAAGACGTTACAGCCTCAGTCCCTTGTGTCGACTTTTCTCAGTTACGTTTTCCATGATTTGCCGGAAAATAAGTATGCTTCCGCCTTATATTTCAAATATGTTGCGAAATTATTCACCACAAAACGTAAACCCGTAACCTTTTCTGAGTATTTTTCATCATATAAACAACGTTACCAGGTTTTGATTACCTGTTCTAATAAAACTACCGCCACGCTATTTACCAAAAATTAGAAACCCTTCCATAGTGACTCGATGTTGATATTTTTAGGCGTCAAGCAGAGTTCATCTTCGATGTTGTCGATTCAGTTATACTCTTCCTAACGTATTTCTTGCAAGATCATAAGAGTCAGAAGTTAAAGCAACTAACTGAATCACTCACCAGTTGAAAGATCACCAACAGAAGACATCTTGAAGTTTTGTCCGTTGAATTTTCTTTGTTATCTTCGCTCCAGCATTTATGCAAACGAATTGCTACACAGTGGATCAGTTTGTCAAGTAATTCCTCTAGCTGTTGACGAATCAGGGCTGGGACAGTCCTTTTGGCATCTCTCTTGGCTTGCTAACGGACAATCAGCTTCGCAAATGCCTCACACTGTTCGTTTCAAATTAAATCAAAACGTCGACAGGGTAACGTAGAGCTGAGTCAAGGTAACAGCATCAACTACGAGAAGCCCGATTAAAGGTGATTCACTAATGTTCCAGAATACCGAGGGGTAACCCAGTTAGGCGAAACGCGTCTAAGTCACCAAATAGAGTACAGCCTGAGATAAGATAGGGTATCAACGTGGTTTGCAACTCCTAGTCTCCGTAGCTGCGATGACAATTTTTAAATGAACATGTTTAGATGAAATTTTCATTAGACAAACGAAACGCGACCGAAACAAGTAAACTGCCTTCCCCACCCCTCCCTTACCCATTCTCACTCTGTCCAGATCTCCTCTTCGAAAGTTAAGAAACTGACTCGGTGCAGCGATTACAAGCCAAAGCAGGAGTACTCTTTTTTTCCAGTAAAGTAAAGCTGGAAAGACGTAAGCGAAGCGGGAGTTACGCGAACAGAAGTCATGAGGCCCTAAATTTCTTGGCTACCCCGACTCACGCGTTTTTTATTTGAATGAAAGCAATCGGGAAACGCTGCAGTGATCACTGAGTGATGCAAGGAGGCGATAAAAAGCGACTGGTGTACTGATAACTGCTCCCGTTCAGTAATAATGTCAAATGGACGCGCGTTTTGATGCTCCGTTCGGAGCCCAAAGTACTCTGTAAGGGTGAACGATTTGAAACGGATCGATATCTACGCTTTAATATGCGAATGCACAAGGTATCAGTGCATCTTTAGGTTTATTTTTGACGGGAATTTCCCATAGGTCATCGTGAGGTTAAAAGGAAGATATCAAATCTGCGGATCATGCGAAACAAAGGTTGTGGTTTCTGTAAAGAGCAATTATTAGACGGTTAAAATTTTAGTTTTGGGTAGTACAAACTTGTTCTGCAACAAGAATCGCGGTTAGATGGAGTTTCAAGCTAGTTTAACAACTGCGTTTCCCAATGACACAAATTTCACAGATGGAACTCTTCCTAAGACCTTGTCCGCTGTTACAGCTTCCCTCTCGCTCATGGGATCCTTCACAATCTTTCTCACGTTCTGGATGTCGCCCGACTTGCGAGCTACACCTCGCAGAATGATCATGTTTGTAACAGTCGCCGATTTCCTATTTTCTGGCACAACCATCGTAGATTATTTGGAAGACAGATTGGGATCAACAAGTTATTTCGTTCCAACACTTGAGGTGACAATACCACGAATTATGGTGCTTGTTTCATCGCTCATTTGGACAGTTCATTTGTCTTTCTTTTTTTACTTAACAATTTGTAGAAGAATTTCCATGGAATCAGAAAGATTGTATATCCTGTTTTTTCACATAACGGCTTGGGGAGTACCTTTTGTGATCACTGTGGTTGCTTATTTCTTCAACGGAGTTCAATTTTTGGCAGACCTTGAAACTGGGTACAAGTGCTGGATCTGGAATGAAAAAACTTGCAGACAATGTGCATCTGGGCAGCTACTACAGGAGAGGACTGGGCCATCATGACGTACATAACCATGACTGTGTTCTATATACTGATCAAGCAGCACATAAGAAGAGAGGTTTGTAAAAAACTTCAATATGGTTAAAAAAATTCAATTAAAAGAGTACTCAGAGGAATGTAAAAGAGTGCTCAGAGAAATATAAAAGAGTGTCCAGAACATTCAATAGGTTAATTCTGCACTCGAGCTGGGTGGGCCATTCAACTGGAGCCCATCCTGATTTCTGTTGCATTAGTGACAAGGGTTCCAATCCATCTCAAGGTTATCCTCATAAGCTTTGGTCATGCTTTTATGATAGTTTGCCAATAATCATTTCTTTATATCCCCAAGAGGAGACAAGTATGGGGAGAGTTCAATGTGCATAGTATCCAATTTCTTCTTACATTATAACCCTTGAATCAAAATCAAATCAAATAAAAAAACCCAACTCTTCCAGCCATTACCTTTAAAAAATTTATAGAGAACAGTATGGAGTATATGCACACTGATGTTACTGTGTAAAGCAGTAAGATAAGTTTAATGCCAAAAAAATATAACATAATAACCCAGTTAGCACTCCAATTGGGACTTCTTTGTCAAGTCTTCAGAGCATTACCCAGTAGCTGGGCTAAATTTCATTCCACTGAGGATATGAATGAGATGAGATTCCTATCACTTTATTGGTATACACTTCAGTCAATGTAGTGGGGAAATTTACACCTTTAACCCCTTAACTCCCAAGATCTGATTGTTAATTCTCCCCTCTAGCTGCTACACATTTCCTTTCATATAAGTCACCAGAATTTGGCATGAGATCAAGATAACAACTTCTAGCTGATACATTTGAGTATTAACATTACCTGTTTGCTGGATAGTGGATGGATATTGTAGGGAGAAATTATTTGTTAATCACTTTTGGGAGTTAAAGGGTTAACTTAATACTGGTAACTAGTAACTTGGTTCTCTTTCTCAGACTCTGCCTACACTCTTTCACTTAGCACCTGTAGCTCCCTTTTTCTCTTTGCTCACCTCATGATCAGTCTAGCTGGCAGAGCTACATTGTAATGAACAATTTATTTTCTCTTTGTTTTAGCTTAAGTCAAGATTTTATCCAGGAGGCACATTTTTTACGTGGAAATCTGCTCATGCTGCAAGAATGACAGACTGCAAATTAACATTTATTCCCATCATATTTATCCTGCTGTGTATTTGGGGAACCATATGATTTTTTCCTCCTTGTAACACATTTTCATGATCATAGTAAGGAAATTTTACTCTCCAGTGGCTTGAAATTCTTCATGTAAGTAACACTGCCCCATACTATTACTGAAATACTGATTGATGGACCTCAGCCGCCCTTGCGAACTGAATTCCCAGTTTTCTGGGAATTCCTAGGAATTATAAAAAATTCCCAATTATGCAAATGACCCTTGCAAACTGAATTCCCAGTTTTCTGGGAATTCCTAGGAATTCTCAAAAATTCCCAACTATGCAAATTAACTCTGATTTAAAAAGCTTGGAATTACTGGGAATTTCTGGGAAAGGAAGACTCCAGTTTTGTGAGGACTTGGAATCCCTTGGAATTCCTAGGAATTCTCAGCTTTACAAACTACCTATAATTTAAGAAGTGTGGAACTACTGGGAATTTCTGGGAATTGAATTTGAGGCAATTTTAATACCCTGAGGTCCACATAAATTCTAAGAAATTCTCAATACCTTGAATGTGAAGGTTTTAAGAAAAGGAGTAATTTCAGAGGCTTAAAACTTTGGCTCAATAAAAGGTATACTATACAAAACTTACCAAGAGATATACATACATGTATATGTTTATAACTTAAAGATCATGAAATTTATTATTCAAACTAAGTTTTAGTAAATCTTTACATTCATTAATATGGATTTTCTCATTAACCAGCTGTCAGTTATGTTAAATGGAAATTGCCAATTAATACAATGTACTTATATCACAGATTTACTTTCTAACCTCAAAGGACTCTTGGATTCCATGATCAAAAAATATTTTTATTGTGATGCAAATTAATGTCTCATGCTCACTGATGTGCCAAAATCATCAAACATTCATTGGCTGTTCCTTGGTACACAACTTCCACAATAATTACATTGTTATCTACACTTAAAGAACTTTGTTAGTTATAAACATAAGTTACTTCCCTAACCTACATTACTGGTTGCCTTTGTTAGAAAACCTTGCAACAGTCAAGCTCAGTTGCCTCAAACACTGTCAGAGACTTTTTGTTGACAATATTTTTAGTAGAAATTTCATGCCTTAGACAAACAAATTCAACACCTAATTAATCTTTCTTTTTTCATGATTGTTGTTGCTGTTTTTTTTTCAGTTTTTTTGCTCTGTTTTCGTGACTAATTGCTGTAATTTGTTTTGCTTCTTACAAAACATTTTTGTAAGAGTTCCAATACTTGTGGATCATCCACACACTTTGCAAACATTTGGCATGCAGACAAGACAGAGGTAGTCAATGTTCCCTTTGAGAAAAAACACCTTTTAAATGACATCTTCAATTTACTTTATTTGAAACTCTGATCTGAAAATATTTGTCAACAAGACTTGTTAGTAGTGAGAAGTACCGACCAAGTTTCCTTTCATAACTTAATTTCTTAAATGTCCTAATCACTGGATCTCCCAAAAAATATTACATCTTTTTATTTTTGGTGCAAAATACAAGTCCTTCTTTATATAAAAATGAAAATTGCAAGTTACACTTCAATAATAACAGCTCTAAAGTTTACTTGTTGTTCTTCTCTGTCTGTTAGCTATCAACAAAATTGTTTTATACTTCGGACAGTGCATAACTATTTGTGGACCAGAGTTCCAACGCACCTCTGTAATCGCATATAGTTACTTCTGTCTCTTGTACAAATGTTTCTCCTTTGTAAGACGCACTCTACTCTGTTGTCACTACTGCTTTAAGTTCAATGGAAACGACTGACTGAGGAATCGAGATGGCGGTGTCGGAACATGTTGCTGAACGCTTGCTACGGTCAAGCTTTGTAGATGTAGGTACTGGTACACTGGGATCATCTATGTATCTCTTATACTTCCTAATGTGGTATCCTTCTTTTATAAATATGAGGGTAAAAGACGATTTGTAGTTGCATTCAGAACTGTGATTGGCTTGTGTTATTTCTCACCTTTGCCATGAACACAACTCGAGTGAGTTTCGAGTCTTTGTTTCCTCGACAATTTTCGGCTACAAATCGTGCATTTGTAATACGATCGATTCTTGTCGATTATTTCTACATAGAGTGAGCTCACATCATTATTTATATCACCAAGGTATCCATCGTCTAGAAGCAGAGAACCGGTCGGAGAAGTCAGAATGAAGTTGTGCTCTTCCCTTAAGACTACAATCGGTAAGCCAGCGGATTCACTTTGCTAGCCAGTTACAAGTCCTAAAAGATCCACGTGATCATGCCCGTGATCGGAAACAAAGAAGACTCCATTTGGCGCTCATCTTTGAATGTACTTTTCATCGGTTGATCGTTTTTCTCAACTTTTTTGCTTAAAATAACATTTCTAAAGATAGCTTTTATTGTGGTTCAATGGGAAAACGAGAACAGCGTGAGTGTTGTAAAAGAAATGAAAGTCGTTGGCGCCGTGAAGTTAAAAGAAGGGACAACAGTTGACATATTGACTGGTACAAACTAGGGTCGAGTGGCCATCTGTAAAGCTACGATTTTGAAAGTTTGTGGTGAGTAAAAATTGCGATATTCGTTACGTGATCAAAATCTTATAAAAGAATAGATGTAGCGGGTTGAATTAAGCTTACATAACGCTCGGCGCAACTGAAACTAGAATAATTCTGAGAATCGAATCGGTCACTTGCATGCCGCAGTTTCTTAAGCTTATGCTTTACAATGAAATAAACCTATCAGCAAGGTTTCAAGATTCCTCTAGTCACGTTTGGGAACATTTAAGATTCATAATAGGAACTGTTATTAAACAAACCTTGTTACATAAAGAAGCCCTCCTTGGTAAAAACAAAATAATGTATTGAGCCCTTTTTTAGTAAAATATATGAGAGAGATGTACTAACTCCAATGTAAAAGTCACTCAATATAACAGAGATTTCTCAATTTGAGAATCCAATGAATGCCCTTTTCCTCATAGCCATCTTAAAGGCCTGGTCTGAAATTTAAATATATATATTTAAATATATTATTTTTTTTCAAATTCAGATGTCATGGAACCCAGATACAAAATGGTCAAGCTTCTTGTAGACAACCTCATTCAAGGCCAACTCATTGTGAGCCCAGGGAAAAAATACATACAGCAGCTAAGTTTGCAGTTTAGGATAACTTCATTCTAATTTATTGTTACAGTTACAACAAGATTTTAATCAAAAAATCAATTTTATTTGTCTGTAATTAACCCCTTCACTCCCAAGAGTGCTTGGTTTTCAAATATAATTTAAGATATTGTATTTTATGGAAAAGAATCAACAGATTTTATTCACAATTTGTGTCAAACCAAATTTAATGATTGATTAGGACTATTTTATATGAATAGCTGTAATTGAGGTTTAATCCATATGAAGTTTTCAAGAAAGGAAAAATCAAATTCCATCCTAATATTACCACATGTTGATGTTATTAATGAATCAAAAATATTTTAAATGTAAGCTTTAATTAAGCTTCTAAATAAATTTCATTGAATACTTGAATTTTAGCTGGGTTTTTTTTAATTTAAAGTATTTATTTTATATCATTAGCCTCAAATTTTTGCTTACATTCCTAAAAATTCCCAAAAATTCCCAGAAATTCCCTGGAAATTTTTAGATTTACAGCTTTTCAGGGAAAGTCATTGGTTCTCTGGGTTGGAATTCCTACGAATTCCAAGGAATTCCAAGTCCTGTTGGCTATAAACTTGGAATTTCTGGGAATTTCTAGGAATTTCTAGGTTTTTAGAACCAGAGTTGTTATGGTTGGGAATTCCTAGAAATTCCTAGGAATTCCCAGTCCGAATTTACCATGAAAATTCACACCTTT